TATATATATATGTGTGTGTGTGCACAATATAAATCAACAGACTTCACCTCGCACAAGGACTTTATAATTACACGTTTCAAACTCAATCACAGACCAAAAAGCATCCGTCAGCAGAACGGCTCAAGAAAACACTTTGTTTTTCTCTGTAACTGCAGATTCTCAAACGGCGTTCCACTCACAAACTGATGCAAGACATAATTATTTTTTTCTAAACTTAATTTCAGACAAAGAGCACTCGTCAGCAGAAAGTTGGTAGAATATAAATACGCTATATGTATTTCTATATAACTGCGCAGATTCTTTGACTACGTTCTACAACCCAACATGATGCAACCCTCATTGTCTAGTTTTCCCACGATCTTACTGATATAAATACTTCTTATTTTTACAATACTTTTCATCTCATATCGTAAACCCGGACAATTGCTGACTTTTTCCCCGCAGAAAAAAACATTATCTCAGAATTTTGCGCAAATGATAAACGCCCAAATCCTGCTTGCCGCCACAGATCCGCTTGAAGAGACCCTTCTCATTATAATTCCCTGCAAACCTCATTTTTGTCACGACGCGGTGGAATCAGTCGCTCGTCAATTTTTGGGCATGTTGAGTTATTGGTATCATCTGAAAGCTGATTTATTTGCCTTGCTTTCAATTAAATAAATATCCGTCTATCTTGAATAGAACTAAAGATACTTGGGATTGAAGCAATAGTGAAATCAGCGAGAAAATGGTCGCCAAAGTTTGGTAACTCCAATAGATGAAGAGTCCTCGAAAAAAGAAAAAAATGACATATTTTGTACCTTTAATCGATGTTTTTCAGTAAAATTCAGATGTAAATGTGGTTTTGTATGGGCATAAAAAAAGATTGAGCCAAAAACAAATAAAAATTTGATAAAAATATCCAAACTAGCGGAAAAATGCCTGTTTCTCCGATTTCTGTATTTTGAGGAGCGCCTGATTTCACCACACTGCCTCACATTTCTGTTTTCTGTGCGTTATCTTCTGGCACCATACCCATCTACAACAACAAGCCTCAAGCAAAAGTGCTAGCTAAAGTGAAAAGTGCTGTTTCAGTTGTTTTTTGTTTGGTTTCTTTTTTAGTTGTTTTTTGTTTTCTATTGTTGTTGTTGTTGTTTGTAAAAGTGTCTTATCATTGTATGTCGGTGAGGCTAGCCTATCCTGTATAAAAATGGACGCCAACTGAGCTGCTCTACCATATAGAGGCAGCGACTGGAGGGTAAGTAAGCTATAGTTTGTTCACTTACTGTAGGATAAGTAAGCTATAGTTTGTTCACTTACTGTAGGATAAGTAAGCTATAGTTTGTTCACTTACTGTAGGATAAGTAAGCTATAGTTTGTTCACTTACTGTAGGATAAGTAAGCTATAGTTTGTTCACTTACTGTAGGATACGTAAGCTATAGTTTGTTCACTTACTGTAGGGTATGAAAGCAGATTTTCTTTACCTCTGTAAGAACGTAGAAAACACTTTTGTTCCATCAGCAACAAGCCAAAGGCAATGTTACCACACATTTTGAACCATCACATACAGTTGTTTTTTAAAAGCAGAAATACAATAAAAAGCATATTTCATCGTATTCATGTTGTTGCTTGTCGTTGTGAAATTTTGTAAAATTTAGAACAGAATAGGAACATATTTTAGCCGATAACGAGGCTATGTTTCTTTTGGTTTTTTAATCGCCGCAAACAGGGCAACATCCGACTATGTCTAAAAAAACAGCACATCTTCCGACTCTGTCAACCCCCACCCCCCAAAATTATTTTTTTTTAAATTAAAAAATAAAAATGAAATAAACGCACGTCTTTTCGCAACCTTGTCCCAAAACAGAAAGACTTTCCACTTCCTTGTCCATCTTGACATTACAATTTGCCACTGTCTCTCTTCTGTGAATTGCCAGTCGCGTGCGGCTAAACGTCGCGTCGCGCATAAGGCGAAAGTTTTGTCGCTTTTGTCGCACGTGAATGAAAAGTTTGATGCGATGTGGTCGCGCACAATACAAGGTGCCTATTGGGGGATCGGGTCGGGGCGGAGCGGTTTGCTAGCCAGATTGAGGGCGCAGAGCGGCTATCGTGGTACAAGCCGATCGCGTCCGACTTGTCGCCTCCAAAACGACCCTGCAATGGGCACCCGGTATAGTACAGGGTGCCCACGACGGATGGGATCGGACGATCGGGCCGATCGCCCGACTCGGTCGCCTAAAAAAACAAACGTGTTTGTTTTCAGTTTCAAGCCACCTAGTCGGACGATCGGCCCGATCCAGCCGTAGTGGGCACCCCGTATTAGGATACACACCTCGCGACTCATCACTAGCAATTGTCGTGTGTAACTAAACGTCGCGTCGCGAATAAGGACAAATAGGTTTATACCGGGTGTCCATTGCGGATGGGATTGGGTCGAGTCGGGTCATGTCGGGTCAGGTCGGATCGATCGCCCGACTCGTCGCCTGAAAACAAACTACGCGTTTGTTTTTGAGACGATGAGCCGGGCGCGATGGGGGGTGGGGGGAGGGGGGTTACACCCCGAAAATCCCGATTCGGCTCAAAATTATGGACTTTTGGTTAGCTTCTTCAGCCTCTCTTTCAACTATTTCATCGCGTAAGAACCACACAAAGCCTTACTTCTTCCCATACCGGGCATGTTTGTCACCACCATTTCCTCATAAAGTCAATCTTTTATTTTTCTTTATCGCCCGTTTTCTCAACACGCGGTTTTTCTATATACTTTTTTGAATAACTCCACTTATTACGTAAGACATGTCAACAACATCCAGTATGGCCGCCGTATCCATAGAAACGAAACTTTTTTCTTAAATTTGATTGCGGATTTTCAGACTCCTTACTATTCTCGTTGTTATATGTGTGAAATTTGGTAAAAATTGATCTACTAATAAGGGAGACAGCACTCAGGTGTATCCCCCCCCCCCTTTTTCCCCCCATGATCCCTTTAAGAAATTACTCACAAGTTAAAAGAGGGTAAATAGCAACCCTTTCGTTTGATGCGGTTGTTGTGATGTTTGAAAGCAACAATCCACATCATCAAATGATTTTCACTTTTGGAATTCTCAGTTCAGTTTTCTTTACAGGCAATTATACAAAATATTGGAGCAATTCTATGACAGTTGCTTTGTGTAAAAATAAGAAACGTTAAAGACGATGAAAAATTGTACTGGCATCAGTCTACAGAATGCTCTTGGTAGACTATTGCCCTGAACTCAAGTCCACAGCTTTAGGCAGATGAAAGTGACCTCACTTGAATAACAGGAAGGTTTTAGACAATATATTTTTACAATAGATGATATAATATTTTCTCTTCAGTCTTTAGTTAAAAGATATAATATATACTTCTAAGGCCGATGTAACATTCTACGTACGATTTATTAACTTCATTTTTAAAAAAACGCAGTTTAAGCATCAAGTGTAGCATTTGTGCAATCCCGAATAACGACCACGGGAGAAAAATGGCTTAAGTCCCAATGTTAAAATTTTACATTTGTTTCTGTTTTGATCAATTATCTGACTTATTTCATTTTGTCCACCAATACCAGTTTTTGTTTGTTAGGAAGAGCTATAGCCACGAGCTGGTAGCACATTCCGAACAGTCGAACAAAGAAAGGGTGGCAGTAGTCCAAATATGGACTAATGTAAAGACGGTCATCTTCTTAAACATTTTTGATGTGACCAATGCCGTCAAATCGGTAGCAAGCTGTTCAACTGTTTAAAGCTCAGAGAGCAATTTTTTCAGGAAAGATCACCCCCCCCCCCCCCCCTTCCCCCCCAAAAAATCCAACAGAGCACAAGGCCACAAAAAAAAAAAACAAACCAAGAATAGTTTCTTAAAAAATAAAATAAATTGTAACCTCAGTATGTATCGCCTCTTACTTGTTTAACATATTTAAAAAATTATTCTACAAAATATATATATTCCCCAGGCACAGCAACGCCCTCCATGGATTAAGAGATATCAATGAAAAAAAGTTAAATTGTTAATTAAATCTGACCAGCTAACCGATGAAATGCATGCATATTTCAATGTTTTGTCTCAATCTTTCCTCCAGACCACCCAGCAAAAGTAGATCTACGTGCATATCTTTGTGAACAGAACAGCCAGCAGTAAAAGAACTATGGACGCCGTTAGGACATTCATCCCCAAGCTTATTTTAGCAGCGGCCCTGGTGATGTCTTCCAGAGCATGGCGTCTCAATGTGACGTCATCAGAAATCGACGTCGGTAGGACAGCGCAAGTTTCCCTGAACTGTTTCAACCCCTATCAACAGCAGGACATCACGGACCTTCTCATGATGAGAATCGAGAAAAAACAGCTTACCGGGTGGTCCAGTGTGGCGGAACTACGTCACGGCGATGTGGACGTCAGACTCACAGCTAATGACGTCACCGCCACGGGCAACATTGTCTCCGGGGCTAATAGCTTCATGCAGCTTACCTGGCCACTGGCAACCAACGGCACGATCGGTCTTTACCGTTGTGACGTCACTTTTCTGAATTCCCACGGCAGCGTCGGGTGGCAGAAAGGCCTACCGACTTCCATCTCTCGTAAGAGTGACGTCACTGTTCAGATCCTGAGCGAAATGGTGGACGAGACCAAAAGACAGTGCACACAGCAAAAACAAGACATCCAGGCATACGTAGCAGCGGCCGTAGAGGAGAACAAGAGACACTGTCTGAAGGAGAAACAAGACGTTCTCCAGAACATGACGGCCATGCTCAAGGCGCTTGAAGTGAGTTTCCTTAGCAATAAGTTGGCTAATCATATTATTTATTCCATAATCCTGACAGGTACGCTTTTCTGTAAAGCGCTTAGAACTGTGTGCACTCAGGAATGCACACCAGAATAAGGGCTATAAAATGATGGTGGTTGGTTATTTTTACTTTCCTTCTTCTTCTTTTTTTTTCCTTTCTTCTTCTTCTTCTTCTTCTTCTTCTTCTTCTTCTTCTTCTTCTTCTTCTT